CAGATGCTGATAATAACAATCAATCAATCAATTCGGCCAGACGCTTCAAGTGATATCAAGGTGGCATTTAATAGTATGCAATGATGCACCAGACAGGTCAAGATCTGAGCAGAGGCCAATATATCAATCGATTCTCGAAATTAAATTTCAATAATAAGGATCCTAAATAGGAGTAGGTACTACATACATTCGCAATATACTCGTACCTATACTGTTACAAATGTTACATAGGATATGTAAATAATAATATGTAAATGTACTTCGTTACAGATTATACCTACTTCGGTATAATCTGTAACGAAGTACATTTTTTTTTCGAACTATCTAATACTTCGCAGCAGCTGGCCTTTACAGCTTCACTACCCTTTACTTCTGCCTTAACTTTACAACTTCAGCACTCGCGGAAGGACTTATGGAGCGGGTGAAGGTTAGACCCTTACGGATATGACTTTAGTCAGAGTCCACCGCTAGAGTTCGAATCTCGGCTCAGATTGTTGTAAGTTCGATCTCCATTTGAATTGGACGGGGGATCGATCGGAGGGGCAACGATTGCAGTGTCGTTACTTCGGAATCTAATTACTTAGTAACTATAGTTAAATACTTGTATTAATGTAATTTTTTACTTCCATTATATTACTCATGTCATAAATAAAATATATCTTATGTTGGTGATCCTTAAAAGTAAATAAATAATTAAATAAGATAATATTACAGAGATTATTGAAAACCAGACGATTGCAAATAACATTTTTATGACTGCAACCAAGTTTACAAGTTTATTAACCTCATGTAGCTTTATTGTGGAGCTGTAAATGTCACTGTAAGGGACGTATTGTGTGCCTTATGTTATAAACAGCAGCGATAATAAATAATCAAATTCAAAAGACTTGAAAGTTATGGCATTTTGTCTACATCCTTCAATAAAAGAAAACTTTCATCAAGTAGATAACGTTTAATGTTTTCTCTGTACATGAGTAGGCATTACCCAATTTCACTTAATTACCCGTTTAAATATATATTGAGTAAGTACCTCATATTTTGTCTACAATTGGTTAAACTCGAATGCTTTTTTTAATTTAAAAGTAATTGTGAGGTTTGTTATATATTTCCAGTATGTATATAAACAAAAAATAATACAGTGTATCAAAAAAACGAATTCATCGGCACAGGTAAGAAGTAAGAATCAATAATCATAAATTACAAAGTATTTTAATTGAAATAATCCTGCCCGAAGCAAATTGCAGAAGCAATATGTAAGTTAAATTCTTATAACAACTTATAAAGAATGAAAAAAATGTTAAAATATGAAGAACAGAATATTATCTATACTAATATTACAAAAAGAGAGAGAGCAGATACCGTTACGAGGGTAGTAAACTCCGAAAAACTAAACACTGTTATTATATTAAGAATCCAACGTTACCAGCAAACGTGTAATATAGGACAGGTCTTTCATAAACAAAATGAATAAAACCCAATCAGACTTCGGCACATAAACATCAAAATAAAAATCCCAGAATTTCTTTATCATCACATTTTAACAATTACAACTTTTCAATACATAAGTAAGAAGTGAAATAATCAAATAAATCCGATTCAAATCGTGACGCAAACAATGATAATGTCCTATGACTTGTACCATAGTTGCATCTGCAGGAAATTTTCAGCATACGATGTGTGGTTTGTCTGCTTTATAATTAGAAGATAATAAAGACTGATGTAAAACTGATTTACAGCGGGTGTATTACGATTTTTCTGGTAATTCCACTTTTAGGTACATTAATGTACTTGGGAATATTATGTTTACAGTAAATATACATTTATATATAAGTAAAGGGTTTTTTTAGTTATGTGAACGTGGTAATCTCTAATACTATAAGTCAAATTAAAGAGAACTGTTTATATTTTATGCCTGAGAAATGTTGTATAGGCTATGTATAGTCATGTATTGCCATTCCTAAGAACTAAGATGTCAGGATACAAAATAAGCTGTTAGGCTGCTGGAATAGATGAAACTGAGGTAGGCAGACGACTTTTTGGAAATTCTACTTCTATACCTATACATATGTTTATAATTTATTGCTTGGGAAGTGTAGAAAGGTAGGTGGAAGGCCACTCAACGTTGCTAGTGAGCAGACGAGAGTGCTCAACGTTTCGTTTTAATTAAATTGCATCATTCCTTCAATTTAAAAGAAATGTAGAGCAAGATCATCGTCGTTTTACTCAGCAACAGGACGTGTTACATAGTTTGCCGATTCGTTGTCTATCTGGAACACGTCTGGTCCAGTGAATATCGGTTCTACAACATTATCAGCTCACTACTACTTCAGTCTGCATATTCGTTGAACTGTCGGTGTGCTAACTTCTCTGGCGAATTACTTTGTTACGAATTGGATTGCTCTTAGAAATTCCTGGCATGTACTTAACGTAGGTAACTAAAGGTACTTAAGGCGGCTAGATGGTATGCGGTGGAGATTTTAGTGAGTAGGACTCTCACTGTACCCGTCCAATCTCTAAGATGTGCCTCCATGGGGGATCTTCCCCACGTAAATGAAAAATAAGCACTTAAGGTGGATAGGCAGTAACTAACAGCAGGTATGTCTAAATAGATAATACTAGGAGGCATTGTTCAAGGAGTTCATTGTTCTAATGGAACTGCATCCAACATCTGCATACTGTCCATGGTTTGTTTACGCTGACCACGTACCGTCTAGACGTACAGCATGTTGTATGCAAATACGTGATTGTGTCTGCGATTTTCGGCAGCCTATTTCGTATTCATAGCGAAGGTTGGCTTAAAGCGAATATCTGATGAAGAACAGCTTATTTCCAATAGGCTTCAAGCAGGCTGAATACTTTATTTGGAATCACAAAAATCCAAGTAATATTTTTTTTTGTTGCTATTTCAACCGCATCACCATTTTCATAAATTACATTCTTACGTAAAACGTCGTATGACAAGCTACCTCAGTCTTATATATATAGACAACCGTTGCCACTTACCATCAGGTGGGCCTTTAACTTGTTTTCTATTCTAATTACATAAAAAAATAGATCTTTAAAACTCTATTCTATTTTTTAAATGGTCCGACATGTTTGACATTTCAAAATTGAGCTTGAAAGGTCATTTAAAATCACAAAAAACTATTCACTCTTGAAAACTCTGCATCAATAATGTTACAAATGTTAAAGTGAGTTGAATTATCAGCTCTTGGCATTTTAATGATGAAATGACAAGAAATTCTAATAGAAAAAGGAGGAATAAACTACTTACACATAATATTACATAGCGACTAATTTATGAATCCTGGTCTAGCGCAATTGTGAGAAGGCACTTATAATATTATAAATAGAAAGTAGTGTCGTCTGCTGCCTCGATAGAAAGAGCGTCATAATCATCAGCCCACTGCAGTTTACAGCTGTACATAGATGATAGCTGGCAAGATCTTTAATTTTTCTCGTCCAATTGTTACCCGACCAGTAAGATCATGCCCATATACTTTTTTTACTCAGGGTGATCAATTTACTTCATTCTCGCTGACGAGGTTGTTAATGTAATAGATAATATTATTTATGTTTTATATATGGTATCATTGTAATCTGTAATCTAAATTCTCTTTCAATAAACCAGCATGGTAGCTGCCCATATTTTTATCATCTTATATATAAAATTCTCGTGACACAAGTTACCATACTCGTCCGAAACGGCTTGAAAATTTTTTATGAAATTTTATATTCAGTAGGTCTGAGAATCGGCTACAATTTATTTTTTATACCCCTAAGTGTTGTCAAGTGGCTTGTCCAGTCTTAAATATTAATTTTTTTCAACATCATATTTTATTCTAATGCAGCATTGAAAAATACATACAACCCCTAAATATTCGTGCTCCTATCGCTAACTATTTTTTATGGCAAAACAAAGTTTGCGGACTCAGCTAATTTTACATAAAATACCCGTTTAAATTATCCTTCAGAACTCACGGACCATTATTATATAAATTATAGTATAAATCAGAAATCCTAATATGCTCAGTGGCAACATTCATAATAAATGTACTTGGCCTTAATAAAGTTAGTCTAGACTTCATACGATAATGAATTCAATTGTATGCCTAATTTTGGAGTTGGACTAATGTAACGTTTGGATCACCTTTTTAATATGTCTATTCTATGATATATACATACAGAAAACGTGTATGTAAAGTCGCAAGATATTTACATACAATTGTATGTGATGTGTGTGTATAGGTACATTTGTCTGGATGGTATTCAAGGTACATTTTGAAACTAGTTGCCTCCACGGTTTCGTTCAGGTTCTTATAAATTTATGAATTTTATGTGATATATAGTCTATGTTACTCTGGTATAATCTTCTAAACGTTGAAAGATATTCTCAGATCAGTAAGTTCTAAAATTTACTTCTTTCATGACAAAGCCACTCTATCTGTCTCTATGTATAAGAGCAGGTAGTACAGATTTATACAACATATCATAATGCCATCATATTTTACTTTCTTCTACTGATCCCTATCGGCCGTCAAATCTGAGCTTACTCTCCTTTAAAACATATCATCTTTCACATAATCCATCCATCTTTTTCGGTCATTCTCTCCCTTTCCACCCATCCACACTAATGTTAAATGCTTTCTTTAAGAAATGGTTCTGGCTTCTCAGCGTAACATGCCTATATCAAGACAATGTGTTACCTTGCAACTTGTCTATAACTGGCGCAACTTTTAACCTTCCTCATATATACAGATATTCTATCATTTCTGTTAATAATATGAAATTTATGAAAAAACATTGAATCCTAAATTACTAACAAAGTAATATCTCTCGAATGTACTGAAAAAGGAACAGATATGAAATAATTAAGATACAATCTATGTAAAGTAGATAGAATATACTTTATTTACAATATACAGTGAAGAAGAAGCATAAAGCATAAGCTTCTTGTAACAATATTTTTAATTTAATTTCATATAATTTATCAACTTAATTCTTGTCATTTAATCATTGCACCATACGTAACAGAATCAAAACAATCCGATGTTCTAAATCAGCTAATCAATTCTGTTTTAATTATTAATTCACGGGTGTTTTTAATTATAAATATACATAAACGCGATATTTACCAAAAAAGATTACTTATCCCGTTGTTTTGACACTATTACTAGGGTCCTGTTTAACGGCTTATAAATATCTATGACAATATATGAATAATATTATTGCGGTAAATGTTACGATTATGTATTATGTTGTTGTTGTATTTTTTGTTTTATATTTATTAACTAGCAATAATTTTCTTATAGAGTCACGGTTTCATTATCCAATCTAGAATGCATTAAGTATATTTATTAATGGTATTAAGGCGCTATGTTACCAGTTTACTGTGTTAGAATTTTGAATAGTTTACCACGTCCATTCATTTATAATAAATAATATTCACTTAATTTAATTTCATTAGAATATCTTAAAATTAGTCAAAAAGATTTACTTAAATAAACTAATCTTCCTGAATATAAATGTTAACTAGGATAGACTTTGTACTGAAGTAATGTCGTCTTCGAGGGTAGTAGTGGGTACTTAGTTCACACCTATTGCAGCCGCTATGCAGCTTGCTTTGTAAGCTGAGTTTTGATTGTAGATTGTAGTTACAGCAGTGAAATTACAACATATGGAGACATAACATCTTAGTTCTTCGGAATGTCATATGATAATAATATATATGGTACTGTTTATGTATATGTATAGGCGACGGTTACCAATTACCAGCTAGATAGCTAGATCATCAACTTATATACCATTCCAGTAATATAAAAACAAATAAAATACGTTTAAAAAGACGCCTTATTACATAAAATTATTTTCACTCAGTCAACCTTTTGGAAGTCGGATAAATGTATACAATATACTACAATATTTTCTTTATTATTTCTATGCTATATGAAGTTAATACAATTTCAGCATTTTACCGTTTACTATGACGAAGTCATTACGAAAAGACCTGACGTTGCAAATTAAGAGAGCTAATTAACTAAGAGACCTCACATAAATTTACAATAATGTAAAGCGAGGCAGAAAGAATGGTGCTCACACTGACAGTACTTACAATGATGACAGCAATGCACTGCAGATTGGATAATGTAAATCGTGCCTTACAACTTACATATACTTAAAAAGTAATAATAATCTACAAAAACGTAGACCAATAGACAACGTTGAGTATAAAGAATGAGAAGGGAAAAAAGAATCGTGAGAATCTGTCTATGTAGACGGCTGTCTCTCTGCCATTACAGAAAGTCTCGTATTGTGGTATCGATGCTGAGGTACTGGCGCGTGGGTCCACTGGGTTTGGGAATATATGCTGTAAAAATAATTAAACATAACTTTTAAAAAAATTACACTTCAGACAAAATCAAAAAAAATTAAGTCAAGTTAAAAAAAATATATCCAGATTAGTAGAAGAGTTAGAAATTAAAATATATAATTATAATATATTTTAGATTTCATAAATAAACATGTTATATGTATAACTTAAAACAAATGTATTAGCCTGTTAAAAATATACTTTAAATTTACTATTATGAAATTTAGAAGTCATCATGTAAACGGTATATTTACCACGATAATACGGGTAAACTAAACCGGGACATTTGTAATAGTGTTGAAAATAATATTATCGTGGTAAATTTTTTCTTGGGAAAACTGTTGTAGTAATAAGAAAAAAGACTTGGTAAAACGGAGAAAACATATTAATACAGACTAACATATTAGGAACAGAAAGAATGAATTTCAATTCATTCTTTCTGTTCCTAATATGTTACTGGCTAATAAAATGTGTTTTTATATCTAAATTTGTATTTTGAAATTTATAGTTCCTTTTTAGATTCTTTTTTTGTTACTTCAATTTATTTTTTCTGTTATTAATATGTTAGTTGTCTATTATTAATATATTTTTTCCGTTTTACCAACTCTTTTTTCTTATTACTACAACAAAAACCAACAGCACAATTTTATACAAACGTGAAAAAAATGAAATCTGTGTTTTTAGTTTACCTTAAAAGCATCCAAGTCTCTGGACAGATCTTCATCGGAGTAACCCTTCATGGCTTTAGTAGCTACGGGTCCCATGTAATTGTTGACTACAGCAAATTCGAACAAGGAGAGAAACACGAAAACGGAGCACGATGACATCCACACATCGATAGCTTTTACGTAAGAAACCGGCGGAAGACTTTGTTGGGATTGCGTATTTTGCGTCGCTGGAAGAAATAATTTCTTATTGTATTTGGAATAGAAAGAAGATAACGACCAACCTGATAATAATCTTACTAATATTATGAAAGCTAGGGGGCTAGTACAGATGGTACCCCAAACCCGCGGAAGGACTTATGGAGCGGCTGAAGGCCAACTCCCGCCTGACGGATACGACTTTAGTCTGATGGCACCGCTATGGGTTCGAATCTTGACTCAAGCCGTCGTAATTTCTATCCCCTTTGAATTAAAGAAGGGATTATAGCATGGGATTATATGCCCTATAGTCTTAACTTACTTAATAAATGGACTATCTAACACTGAAGAAATTTGTCAATTCGACCCAGTAATTCCTGAGATTTGCGAGTTCAACGAACAACAAAAACAAAATAAGCAACAAACAGCAAAACAGAACAAACTTCAATTTTATTATAAAGTGTGTAATCGCAAATACAAACCTAAAGTCAACAATGAGGTGACTCCCAGTGTGACTCTAGCAGGAATAGCCTCGGGTTTGATCCAGAATGAAATCCAGGACATGACGACGATCAGAGCGGAAGGTATGTAGGTGTGGAACAGGTGGTAGCCCAAACGACGGCGTAGATTAAACACAACGGCTAGGCAGGTGAAGTTGCCTGAAATGTTTAATAATTTTGATATCATCATCATGATTTACTTTTATATATTTATGACTATCTGTATCCGCGACTTTGTCCGCGTCGGATTTAACTATTTTCAACAAAAAATTTATTAATTAAAAGTTACTCCTTATTACATCAGCTACCTGCCAAAAATCGGTCCAGCCATTTCAAAGATTAGCCGGAACAAACAGACAGACAGACAAAAATTGTAAAAAAAGGTTATTTTGATGTATGTATCGTACTTATATTCAAATGCATGTAGTAAAAAACCCTTCTCCATTCTATTCTGTTCCTCTCCATTTTACTCAATTCCACTCCATTCCACTCCATTCTACTCCATTCCACCCCATTCTACTCCATTCCACTCTATTCTACTTCATTCTACTCCATTCCACCCCATTCCACTCCATTCCACTCCATTCTACTCCATTCCACCCCATTCTACTTCATTCTACCCCATTCTACTCCATTCCACTCCATTCCACTCCATTTACTCCATTCTATTCTATTCCACCCTATTCCACTCCATACTACTCCATTCTATTGTATTCCGCCCCATTCTACTCCATTCTATTCTGTGAATTGAGTAGAATTAGCACTCCATTCTACTCCATTCTACTCAATTCCACTCAATTCCACTCCGTTCCACTCCATTCCACCCCATTCCACCCCATTAGAATTCCACCCCATTCTACTAGAATTCTACTCCATTCTGGACCCCATTCTACTTCATTCCATTCTACTCCAACAGAATAGAATGGACCCTATTCCACTCCATACTCCATTCTATTGTATTCCCACAATTCTATTCTAGAATGGGGTGGAATGGAGTAGAATGGGGTAGAATGAAGTGGAATGGGGTGGAATGGAGTAGAATGGAGTAGAATAGAGTGGAATTGAGTAGAATGGAGTGGAATGGAGTGGAATTGAGTAGAATTGAGCAGAATGGAGTAGAATGGAGTCGAATGGAGCATTCTACTCAATTCCACTCCATTCTACTCCATTCCACCCCATTCTACTCCATTCTACTCAATTCCACTCCATTCTACTCCATTCCACCCCATTCTACTTCATTCTACCCCATTCTACTCCATTCCACTCCATTCTACTCCATTCTACTCAATTCCACTCTATTCTACTCCATTCTACTCAATTCCACTCCATTCTACTCCATTCTGCTCAATTCTACTCAATTCCACTCTATTCCACTCAATTCCACTCCATTCTACTCCATTCTGCTCAATTCTACTCAATTCCACTCCATTCCACTCCATTCTATTCCTCTCCATTTCTATTCTGTGAATTGACTAGAATTGAGCAGAATGGAGTAGTCTACTGGAATTAGAATATTGGAGTATTCTACCCATACTACTGGAATTCTATTGTAGAATAGAATTCTGGACTGGAATGGAGTGGAACTAGAATGGAGTGGAATCCGCCCCATTCCACTCCATTCCACTCCATTCTACATTAGAATGAAGTAGAATGGGGTGGAATGGAGTAGAATGGGGTAGAATGAAGTGGAATGGGGTGGAATGGAGTAGAATGGAGTAGAATAGAGTGGAATTGAGTAGAATGGAGTGGAATGGAGTGGAATTGAGTCCATTCCACTCCAGAATGGATTCTAGAATGGAGTCGAATTGGAGCATTCTACTCCATTCTACTCCATTCTACCCCATTCTCCCCTATTCTACTCCATTCTACTCCATTCTCCCCCATTCTGCTCCATTCCACTCCATTCCACTCCATTCTACTCCATTCTACTCCATTCTACTCCATTCCACTCCATTCTACTCCATTCTGCTCAATTCTACTCAATTCCACTCTATTCTACTCCATTCCGCCCCATTCTACTCCATTCTATTCTGTTCCACTCCATTCCACCCCATTCTACTCCATTCTACTCCATTATACTCCATTCCACCCCATTCTACTCCATTCTACTCAATTCCACTCCATTCTACTCCATTCCACCCCATTCTACTCCATTCTACTCAATTCTACTCCATTCTACTCCATTCTACTCCATTCCACTCCATTCTACTCCATTCCACCCCATTCTACTCCATTCCACTATTCTGTTCCACTCCATTCACTCCATTCCCATTCTACTCCATTCTTCTACTCCATACTATTCTGCTATTCTCCATTACTCCATTCCACTCCATCCACTCTATTCCACTCAATTCTACTCCATTCTACTCCATTCTACTCAATTCTACTCCATTTCACTCCAATTCCACTCCATTCTACTCAATTCTATTCTATTCTATTCTGTTCCACTCCATTCTACTCCATTCCATTGTATTCCGCCCCATTCTACTCCATTCTATTCTGTGAATTGAGTAGAATTGAGCAGAATGGAGTAGTATGGAGTGGAATGGGGTGGAATAGAATATGGAGTAAATGGAGTGGAACAGAATAGAATGGAGTAGAATGGAGTTCTATTGGAATCCATAGAATGAACCCCAGAATGGGGTCCATGGAGTAGAACTAGAATGGAGGTGGAATTGAGTAGAATGGCAGTGGGAATGGAATTCCAGAATTCTGAGTAGAACTGGAATGGAGTGGAATTGATTCTGAGCAGAATGGAGTAGAATGGAGTCGAATGGAGCATTTTACTCAATTCTACTCCATTCCACCCCATTCTACTCCATTCTACTCCATTCTACTCCATTCTACTCCATTCTACTCCATTCCACCCCATTCCACTTCATTCTACCCCATTCTACTCCATTCCACTCCATTCTACTCCATTCTACTCAATTCTACTCCATTCTACTCCATTTCACCCCATTCTACTCCATTCCACTCCATTCTACTCCATTCCACTCAATTCTACTCCATTCTATTCTGTTCCACTCCATTCCCCTCCATTCTACTCAATTCTCCTCCATTCCACTCCATTCCACTCCATTCCACCCCATTCTACTTCATTCTACTCCATTCCACCCCATTCCACTCCATTCTACTCCATTCTACTCCATTCTACTCCATTCCACTCCATTCCACCCCATTCTACTCCATTCCACTCCATTCTATTCTGTTCCACTCCATTCTACTCCATTCCACCCCATTCCACCCCATTCTACTTCATTCTACTCCATTCTACTCCATTCCACCCCATTCTACTCCATTCTACTCAATTCCACTCCATTCCACTCCATTCCACTCCATTCCACCCCATTCCACCCCATTCTACTCCATTCTATTGTATTCCCCCCATTCCACTCCATTCTACTCCATTCTACTCCATTCCACTCCATTCTACTCCATTCTACTCCATTCTACTCCATTCCACTCCATTCCACCCCATTCTACTTCATTCTACTCCATTCCACCCCATTCCACCCCATTCCACTCCATACTACTCCATTCTATTGTATTCCGCCCCATTCTACTCCATTCCACTCCATTTTATTCTGTTCCACTCCATTCTACTCCATTCTGCTCAATTCTACTCAATTCTACTCAATTCCACTCCATTCCACTCCATTCTACTCCATTCCACTCCATTCCACTCCATTCTACTCCATTCCACTCCATTCTACTCCATTCCACTCCATTCTACTCCATTCCACTCCATTCTACTCCATTCTACTTCATTCTACTCCATTCTACTCCATTCCACTCCATTCTACTCCATTCTACTCCATTCTACTCAATTCCACTCTATTCTACTCCATTCCGCCCCATTCTACTCCATTTTATTCTGTTCCACTCCATTCTACTCCATTCTACTCAATTCCACTCCATTTTACTCCATTCTACTCAATTCCACTCCATTCCTCTCCATTCCACCCCATTCTACTTCATTCTACTCCATTCTACTCCATTCTATTCTGTTCCACTCCATTCCACTCCATTCCACTCCATTCTACTCCATTCTACTCCATTCCACCCCATTCTACTTCATTCTACCCCATTCTACTCCATTCCACTCCATTCCACTCCATTTACTCCATTCTATTCTATTCCACCCCATTCCACTCCATACTACTCCATTCTATTGTATTCCGCCCCATTCTACTCCATTCCACTCCATTTTATTCTGTTCCACTCCATTCTACTTCATTCAACTCCATTGTACTCCATTCTATTGTATTCCGCCCCATTCTACTCCATTCCACTCCATTCTACTCCATTCTATTCTGTTCCACTCCATACTACTCCATTCTATTGTATTCCGCCCCATTCTACTCCATTCCACTCCATTTTATTCTGTTCCACTCCATTCTACTCCATTCTGCTCAATTCTACTCAATTCTACTCAATTCCACTCCATTCTACTCCATTCTACTCCATTCTACTCCATTCTACTCCATTCTACTCCATTCCACCCCATTCCACTTCATTCTACCCCATTCTACTCCATTCCACCCCATTCCACTTCATTCTACCCCATTCTACTCCATTCCACTCCATTCTACTCCATTCTACTCAATTCCACTCTATTCTACTCCATTCTACTCAATTCCACTCCATTCTACTCCATTTTGCTCAATTCTACTCAATTCCACTCTATTCTACTCCATTCCGCCCCATTCTACTCCATTTTATTCTGTTCCACTCCATTCTACTCCATTCTACTCAATTCCACTCCATTTTACTCCATTCTACTCAATTCCACTCCATTCCTCTCCATTCCACCCCATTCCACTTCATTCTACCCCATACTACTCCATTCTATTGTATTCCACTCCATTCTACTCCATTCCACCCCATTCTACTCCATTCTATTGTATTCCGCCCCATTCCACTCCATTCCACTCCATTCTACTCCATTCTACTCCATTCTACTTCATTCTACTCCATTCCACTCCATTCTACTCCATTCTATTCTGTTCCACTCCATTCCACTCCATTCCACTCCATTCTACTCCATTCTACTCCATTCCACCCCATTCTACTTCATTCTACCCCATTCTACTCCATTCCACTCCATTCCACTCCATTCTACTCCATTCTATTCTGTTCCACTCCATTCCACTCCATTCCACTCCATTCCACTCCATTCTACTCCATTCTACTCCATTCCACCCCATTCTACTTCATTCTACCCCATTCTACTCCATTCCACTCCATTCCACTCCATTTACTCCATTCTATTCTATTCCACCCCATTCCACTCCATACTACTCCATTCTATTGTATTCCGCCCCATTCTACTCCATTCCACTCCATTTTATTCTGTTCCACTCCATTCTACTTCATTCAACTCCATTGTACTCCATTCTATTGTATTCCGCCCCATTCTACTCCATTCCACTCCATTCTACTCCATTCTATTCTGTTCCACTCCATTCCACTCCATTCTACTTCATTCTTTTCTGTACCACTCCATTCCACTCCATTCTACTTCTTTCTACTCCATTCTACTCCATTCCACCCCATTCTACTTCATTCCACTCCATTCCACTCCATTCTACTTCATTCCACTCCATTCTATTGTATTCCGCCCCATTCTATTCCATTCCACTCCATTCTACTCCATTCCACTCCATTCTACTCCATTCCACTCCATTCTACTCCATTCCACTCCATTCTACTCCATTCTCCATACTCCATAAAAGTTATTTCAATATTACAAACAGACACTCCAATTTTATTTATATGATTAGATACATGCGTATTACATTATAGAACAAGCCGAGAAATTAAAACATTTGTAATGCATCCATGCGAATCCGGGACGTTTCGTTAGTTATACATATAACATAAACGTGATATTTACCCTTCTTATATTATTAAGAGCTCCTGATATTTCATTCTTCTCGATATTTTATTTATCTAGTTTTATTTATAATGTGTGCAATTTTTAACAACCATGATACTAGAAAACAGTGTTTAGTATTTAATAAATATTTACCTGTAGAATATTCAATGGTACAGTCCGATGTGTAGTTGTTTGAGATATCGAGTTGTGGCAGTTCGATGTCCGGGTTGACCACCAATGGATCAGTTAGGTTCCATATGAACACCAGATCATGTACCGTATGTGATACTACAAATAAAAGTACATGAAAAATTTATTTGGACCTTTGACATACTACTAATAAATCATGTAACTTCTTTACTTTGTATTGTTTTATATTTAAAATAAAATTTTCAAAATAATAAGGAAATACTAAGTAATATTTTTAATCAATATAAGAAATTAAGAGGACTATTACAAAATGATGTCGCTCAACTTTAGATTTAATCGCATGGATTTACGCATGTGTGTGTAATACACACACACAGACGCAAATAAACGTGTAGTGCAATCGGTGTGGATTTAGTATGAACCATTTTGATCCTTTATTAATTATGAAGGTATTAAAGAATCTATTGACATTGATTGATTGTGGTCTCTTAACCCGTGGTGAGTTATGAGGAACAGTGTAGGAATAACTTCATTATCACAATATTACACTTACAGCTCTCAATCATCATAGAACAGCTCTGAGTATCATGAGGGTACGACTCAAACTTCATTGCACATGACAGCACCAGGGTAAGCCTTTAACACATAAAAAAAACAGCCGAATTGAGACACCTCCTTTTTTGAAATCGGTTACAAATAGGATATATTGCTGAATTAACCACCTCGCTATCTGTTTTTTTAGAGCGAGTAGAGTCTTACAAATCTTTGTCACCCAATTAGAATGTTTTAAAGGAAAGGATGATGAGACAGCTTTCCGAAGGAGTGGTAGGCAAAAAAGTATGCCTATACAAATGTGCATAAATTTTGTTTTTTTTTAATAAAGAGTTTTTGTATTATATTCTAATCACAGACGAAATTCCTAGGTGATGCTCCAGCGAGATATTTAGAATTTTAGTTATAGATTAAACAAGTTTGAAGAAGTGTACGGTGTATCTACATTTGCAAACGGTTGTTTTTCACAAATAAAATTTAAAACCTGATCTTTTATTTGTATGAAATAAACTTGATTAAAATTAGTATTGATGTGATGTGATGAAAACAAAGATGAAAAATATTTTGCGACACCTTTGTATACTTTCGCATTTATAATCCTACTAATTGTAAACGTGAAAGTTTGTGAGTATGGATGGATAAATGGATGTATGAATGTTTTTTACTCTTTAATGCAAAAATTACTAAACGGATTTTGATGAAACTTTGCAGTAATGTAGCTTATATAAATTTCACGCGAGTGAAATCGTGGGCACATCACACATAGTACCTATTAATTATGGAAAAATATGGAATCCTAATGTATAAATAGTCTGATAATATATAACTCATTCAACTAAGAATTGCTGTAAAATGCACTTACTTCGACATATAAAGAAGCGTTTTGTCGTGGTACAACCACAAATAATGATTGGGTATGCTCATTTCATGAAAGGTGACCTTCTTTGCATTTTTGAAGAAGCAGTCCGGTCTCCAGATGCTGTTCAACCATTCAACGTCCAGGATTCGGTACTCTTCATGCATGTTCTCTGGTAACCGGAGCCGGGGGTCTCGCCAGGATTGTGCCAGAAAGATGTCTGCTACGTATGTCTGGAGTATTACAAATGTTAATTTTTTTTTAACTATTCTTATGCTGTTGGTCATAGCGGTCTTTACAACTGTACTCGCGAGTGCAGAGTACACTCCAAACCCGCTGAACTGAACGGACTTATAAAACGACTGAAAATACTACTCTCTGACGGATATCTCTAACGTGAGGACATCGGTTTCAATTTCTAACCCCGTTTGAAGGGGGCAGGGATATTCAATAAAAGTAGCAATTTAGAAGATTGGTATTATTTTTTTAATAAATGATGATAGAAAGTAGCTTTGGACTGCACTGATGATGGATTAGCAGCAGAAAATTGTAATGTGGCTCACATTACAATTTTATTTCTCTTTATTCTTCTAACTATACAATCTATCATTAAATCTATTACGAATCTTTTAGAAATTATCCGCAATGAGTTCCACAAGACGTGTGCATGGATACTTCTATTTTATTCGGTTTGTAGTACAAAATATGGCAGCAAAATTGCCGGGTACAGAGTACTGACTCCTTAGTCCTCACTTATGGAAACGCAGGAGAGTTACTGGTAATCAGCGCTTTCAAATTTCCCATCAAGTGGACCTTCAGCTAGTCTGTTTAAATTATAAAAATATCGACAAATCAAATGTATTTTCTTCTTAATACCCACCATACTTTCCTCGTTGATGGAGTCCAGTGAGAGTACAGTAACGTGGAAGTAGACTATGGTGGGCTGTCCCAACAGTTTGGGAGCCCTATTTTTATCGTAGTACTTGGCTTTGACCGGCAAAATGTCGCGGAGTGATAGACTTGACTCCGACTTCAGTTCTATCTCTTGATATGATGCGTTTGTTCTGTTGAACAAGAATATTTACTTCTTATTTAATACAAAATAATATTGTAGGTTTGTTTATTTCCAATTGTTATACCTGTTAATACGTCGGCACAAATTTTTCTGAGATATAAAATTGTGTATGTCCGTTCTCATAATTCCAAATATTAAGATCAATTCAGCACTTTAGTCGTAAAAAAGTGACAGACAGATAGATAGATTTTGCATTTATAAAATTAGTATAGAGAGGAGAAGGGGAGTGTTAATGTGGACTAATAACCCCATTGTTGGTCAGATTGACCTCTACGTGATTCCCTCTGGAAACAATCGTGATAAATTGCCAAAATGGGTTAACAAACTTGAATTCATGTTCATACGCATCATACTCCACTGGTTCCTTAACAAATCATTATATTACTATCCATAAAAAATTGTATGGATGAATAAGTTAATTGTAGCAATATGGCAGTGAAATTTCAGAATATGGAAGCTTAAAAAAAGGATATAGTACAATGATTTCTTAGTCTCTTCAGAATGGCAACTAATGAGTGATATCATGAACTTGTTTATCATTCCAGTTACATAAAAAAGGACAAATATCGTGTTCTGAGCTTAACTTTATCATACAATATACTTACAGAAAGCTAACAGCGGCTTGCACTCTTCCAGCTTCAGTTTTACATAAAAACATAGACACTAATATCACTGCTAAGTTCATCTTGCGTCCCTTATTATCGTGAATCACTTTCACAAACATTTGATCTCTTATTTATACATATTTATTTTATTTAAATGAGTCTCCTTTTATATTATTTAAATTCCATTATAATTTACTTGCTGTTTATCACAGGTTTAATGCCGCAACACTATATTCCATTTCCACAAGAAATCTCCAAATGCCATCTAAGACACTTACGTTGTATTATATTTATACACATTATATGTACACTTTTACATTAATAAATATATATAAAATGCATAAACAACACTCGCTGTAAGCTCACGCCAGACTGCCGTAAGCAACAGCGCAGGAATTAGATATCTTTGAGTACAGAAACTATTTAATACAGGCTCCAGTTCAACGAGGTACAAAACCAAACAACATAACATCTGAAATGATGTAACTAAGATATTCCCCCACGTAATCTTTTATTTCACACACTGCAACTGAAACACAGCACTCAAAGAAAGCTGATTGTTGGCAGAACCTATATCAAATCAAATGAAATCAATAATATTATTCATCTAGGATATTTTAGCCGCATATGAATGTCAAGTTTTTAATTATTTTTTCCTACCGTCCATAGATAAATAGACAGAGGTATCCACATTCACTTTCTATGAATTCTATATCAATCGACTGTTCCAAATCAGCTTTACTCTTAGTAGTTTAGGTTATACGTTAATAGTTAGTGGGACAAACAATTTTATAAGTACATAATAAATGCAAAGGAAGACTTAGAAAAATACAATATCTCGCCAGTAAGGTGTCAATTAACTTATTGAATTTAAGTCTTACATGTTGTACACACGTAATCTCTTTAAAGGGTTCGTCTATAAATATATATATTCCTACAGTTAATGTATACGTAACATACAGTAAATTGTACTGTTGTCTCTTTTTTATATACAACTTTCCATAAAGTTGTAAATAAAAACAAAAATGAAAATAACAACATGGACGTCACAAAATAGAAATGTATGAGGCCTATGGTATCAGTCATGCATTCAGATCAATAAGGAGTCAAGCCTGCGGACAATATTCATACAATAGCCATATCAGTTTTCAAATTCAAATACAACATTGATACAAAGCAAGTTAAACTCATTACAAGCACTTTTGAATAGTCATAAAACTCAGAATGCAGATTCATCACAGAAGAATGAGCCTTGTGTGTTGCTCTTTTTAATAGATGTTTTTTTTTATATAAATAATTACAGTGTAACAAGTTGAGGCATGCGACAATCAACATAGAAATCGCTTCATTATTAGTGTAATCAGATAATATTGTCAGTGCTATGTATTTAAAATTTTTCTACAAAAACATTATTATCGTTAACGAATTCTTCAATTTTATAGTAAGCTTTTTTGCAAAGGAAGTGTTTTATTTGACATTTAAATCTTTTTTCTGGCAGATTTATAACAGACTCTGGTATTTTATTGTAAAACCTTACGCAATTGCCATAAAACGAATTGCCAAGCCAAACGACATTTAGGTAAAATCCATGGTGCTTTTATATATCAAAAAATATATATTTATTTTATATATTGAGAAGCAACGGTGAGGATATTTGATTCCTTAAAGCACTCTCGCAAAGACTCTTCGACATGCTATAAATCACATTTTGTAAAATAAATATTGTATTTATATTTTTGCAACATTTTTCGTTGTTGCCTCACTCTTATTTGTCATAGCGTAATGATAACTTATAGCTTTTCTATGTGATATGGGTTATCTAATACTTTTTTATTTAACTAGCTGTTCCTGACATTAATGCTTTCAAGAAAAACTCTTCAACTTTATAATTTTGAGTAGGTATAACTATTGTCTTTTAACATTGCAGTACTTTTTGTTTCTTGTGTACCTAGTTTCCTAATTATATAATATGCTTTACTCATTTTTTCTTTTTCATATGGGAAAAATGTTGGCCTATAATTACCTACCACAGTTTTTTCTCCTGACTTAAAGAAATTTTGCTATGTTTCATTAAAGATGGGCATCTTCGACTGAAGAACAATGCCTCACTCTTATTTGTCATAGCGTAATGATAACTTATAGCTTTTCTATGTGATACAGGTTATCTATATCACTTTTTTAGAACAAGCTGTTCCTGACATTAAAGAGATTAGTCTTTTAAATCGCTTTTTGTCGTATCTAATTATATAATAGCTTTACTCATTTTTTCTTTTTCATATAGAGTTTCAAGCAGAACAAGGAAGAGAGAATCGCGTCGTATTAAAAAGAAAATTGTGAAAAAAGGCAATAACCTTTGTCGGTGTGGACTCTACCTTTGCTCTGTAAATGAATGGTTGTATTATATTCAGTTGTGCAGTAATGAAGCCGTATGATACATATCCACTTAGCAATTTATACTTGCAGTCGCCTTATAGCCGAGGTTAATACTATTTCAGAGTACCTCGATTTTATGAATTCCGTATGAAAACTTCAACATTATGAATAATATAAAAATAATTACAAAAGTAAAAATAATATCAAAATCTTTCGTAAAATTCCAAGTAGCTCTCTCAGTTACGATTATAGCTTTTTGTATTTTTTTTAAATTTGATATTTATTTATTTATACATTACATTAATGAATGTAGATAAATATGGAATTGTAATAAATAAATTGTTTTAGTTCTACTTATTATAATAATAATAATAATAAATATAATAATAATCTCAGGACAATTCACACAGAGCCATCTAGACCCAAGTTAGGCTAGCTAGAGCTTGTGTTATGGGTACTAGATAACTGATATATACATAGATATTATTTTTTTTGTAAATACATACATATTTTACATAGAAAACACCCAGACCGATACAAACAATCATACTCATGAATACAAATGTGTGTGCCGTGCGAGGATCGAACCCGCGACCATCGGTCGTAAAGCGGTGTGCTTGACCGCTAGACCACCGAGGTCGTCGAACTCATTTCGTTTATCAGAACCCCATTTTTCTTTTTTATCTAAAATCTAACACACAGAAAATCTAATCCCAATCATTTTGACATTTTTCTCGATAAATTACTGTAAGACACTTTACCTTTTCATATTACATATAATTATAATTTTAAAATAACAGATAAGTTCTACAATAACAGTTATGAATCGTCACAAAATTAGTAATGAATCCAACACCACATCCACGACGGTAACTTCGTATGTTAATGCAAAATGAATCACCAAAATCGGGATAAAACTGTCGATATCGTCTAACATAAACATAGAGAAATACATTATGAAAGAAATCTAAAATAAAATATACTTAATGTAATAAATATCTAAAATCTCCTAATTAGTTTTAATAATGTTAATATTCACTCAAGTTAATGACAAAAAAAAATCACTGTCACATATAGTTTCGTTTGACAATAATAAATAAAACATTATTGTTAAATTTCAGTTTGTCTTCTTTCACAGTGTAACACATTAGACTGAACGTGTCGGAGTTACTTTGCTATTGTGTGGTGCATATGATAGCGAGTTTGAAAAAATTATCTCAAACTTACTTAATTTAGTATTATTCTTACTATAATATTAGGTCGCAGTGCTACAGATCCAAGCACCATATAATAGCCCTAACAGCCCAATAAAGAAATACTATAATATTAAAATTCTTGCAGAGGTTAGCATAAGATTAGCCTTATTTTTTTCTAATTAAATATTCTAATGCAACTGCATTGCAAAGCGCAGTCGGGCTGAACGGTATGTGCGCGATATGGAAGGCACCTCGAACCCGCGGAAGAAAATATGAAGCGACTGAAAGCTAATTGCTGTCTGACGGATACGATTTTTGTCTGAAAGTATCAGTAGGTTCGAAACTAGATTCAGATCGTCGTAATTTCGATCAGCTTCAACTCTTTTTTCGTTATCTAAGCTTTCACAGGTTAACACATACACAGAGAAACAAACGATTGTCCCGATTTTATATATTATATATATTATACACATATAGATATCAGATAAATTTCTTAATAATAGCATATTTTACTATTTTTTAATTATCAATTAAAATTAATCGCTATTATACGGACCGCGCAACTACATTTAACCTATTTCCGTGTACCTGACTGTCATTTGTTTTAATTGATAACAGTGATATAAAACTCTACCTACATAAAAAATGTTTTTTTTAAGCTAATTTGTGTAATCATGTAATATATTTAAATGACAACTTGCCTACCGAGTGAAACCACATGAATAAAGTTTCTGAGTTAAAAAATCTGACCGACGCTAGAAACTTTCATCTATTCAAATTTTTAATGAGGTCTCTTGTGATTAAAACATGATGAACTAAGCAAATAAATATAATTGGAGATTATGGAGAATAAAGCTACTTGATGGATTTATAGATATTATTTTGTTTAATTCCGCTACAATTACAATATAATATAAATATAATATAAATTGCCAGTAATGTATCCATACAGGCCTCTCCACAGTTCGCCCTGGAACATACCATAAATGTTATGTGAATTACAATGCTGTGATATAGGTGTAATATAGGGCCTGCGGTAATGGTAATTTACAAAAAAAACCTAATATTCCTAGATTGTGTGTCTATTAGTTATCTAGTACCTTATGTACCCATTTACGTGAGTTTTGTACGAAGTTTTACTTTTAGCTTGGGACTAGAAGGTTTCGTGTGAATAATCTAGTTATCATTATTATTGATGGTGTTTTTTTTGTGGATGATAATGGAATGGTGCACCCGCCTGCGCTAACGGTTTACGCTGGCGTGGCACCAGTGGAGAATGATAAGATGAGCACGAGGTCAGGTCAGTTAGCCCATCGTGACAATTTCACCAGGAATTTATCACGATGGTATCCAGGGGGAACCGCGTGGTGGTCAACCTGACATGGTACATTGCTAGTAATGGGGTCATGAGTCCACATTACTAACAATCTTTCTCCCCTATTGATGGTGTTATTAAACCTATTACTAACCGCCCCTCTCTCCCCAACCATTGATGTTTTATTTCTCATCTTATCCTTCACCACTGGTGCCCGGCTAGTATATAGGTATCATTAGCAAGTGCAGCATTCCATATTTACCCATAAATAAGCTTAAAAAACAAATGTTGTTAACTGTCATTTCCAGTAGAAAAACTGACAAATTATTTGCTCTCTGTATGCAGCTAACAAGATTAAACATAGCGGGGTGGTTATGTCAAGCGGATCGAACTTGGCTGCCCCACTTGTTGAAAAATCGACCTACATATATTTAGTTTTTTTTATGTTTGAAATTTAGGGACTTTTGTATGAACTAAAAATAATTCCCATTATATCCTAAAACTAATAAGTACTTTACTTCACCAGTGAGTAAATTGCGTTTGCAGCACTATCTGAAGGCTCAGCTAAAATATTTTGAATGGAACCTATATCGAATATAATTTTTTTTTCTAATATGGATGTTTTTATCGGTCTGGGTGTTTTCTATGTATATTATGTATGTATTTACAAACAAAGAATGTATAAGTATTTCTATAAGTTGTTTAGTGGCCGTAACAGAAGTTTAGCTTGAGATTATTCTATTATTATTGTCAGGATGAAATGAAAGAATCGAATATATATATTATAATGTTTATTATAACAGATCAAAAGATATAACTATTATCGTAAATTACTTATACGCGACATAATTTCTGTTTATTTATTTACAAAATATCGATAATTTGTGTAAAATCCAAAACAATACTCAGATAATAATAAATATAACAATACAAATTCATCTCGCGATATGAACATATTTTTCTAAAGAAAGACAGGTAAAGTTTATGAAATTTCCAATTTTTTGCTATAGTTAGAAGTGATAATTTCTAAACAAATATACAAACAAGTATTGCTATACTGCATTACAATCCGTTGCGTAGTTTAAAAGATCTAGGTGAACAGACAACGGAAGCGACTTCATTTATACTATGTAAAGATGTGTTATTCTGATGTATAAGCTGTATTAGTGTGAAATTTCATCAAAATCCGTTTAGTAGTTTTTTCATGAAACACTAACATATATCTACTCTATCTAATATAAAATAATCATCAAAATCGGACTTCTCTGTTTAAACCATTATAAGTATTAAACTATGTACAATAGTATACTATAACTGTATGGTCATAATACATCTAGCATGTATTAAACATTTAAACCTCATAAGAATGAATTACAGGTAAAACATGTAAAGTATAATGACGTTATTGCTTTTGTTCTGGTGTAAGCGATTTATAAATTCCCATTAATAAACCTAATATTAAAAAATATAGCCATTGGAATAAATATCACAAGAAAACTTAATTACCATCTAACTCAGTTTTCTTTCCTGTTCCATAAATCTTTTGGCAAAGACAATAGAACCTCCAGTTGTTTAACTCTTCAGCACTATCCTTCATCATATTTCTGTATTGCGTTCTAATTTCCGACATCTTCTTCGAGCAGGACAAAGGACTTTTCTGAAGTATATTTGATGCTTCTATCCAGAGATATTTGCGAACATATTTAGGGTTTTTGAACTGTTCCAAATTAGCCAAATACCATGTCAGCAGCTGCTCCACTTCTTCATCAGTCCACGTAACCTCTCCAGTATCTTCAATAGGTTTCGCTTTATTCTCCAATGAATCTTTAAGTATGGTTTCTTTCATTAAAATTTCTTTTAGAAGTATACCAAAGATACTCTTCTCACCTGCCACCTCATCACTTTCGATGTTATAAGACAATTTCAAATAGTTTACTTTATTAAATACTTTTATCAATGGTTCTGACACGAAATTAGCCAATTCGGTCCACAGAAATTTCTTTTCGTATTTTGGGTTCATGAATTCCTCTATATGCATTAAATAATATTGTAAAGCTTTTTCCACTTTTGTTGTAGGTAATTGTACGTCTTTATAATTCTTGCCATTGTTGGCAGTTTTTTGACTACTTTTAACAAATTTCGGCTTGAGTTTTAATATCTTTTCAAGTAAAGTGTAATATGGGGTTTTCTTTTTATTGGCATCATCTGTAGAAACAGTTTGATTATTTTTGAGTCTGGCAAACATTTTTCTACACGACAGAGGAGTCTTGTTGGGAAGTTTAGACGCTATTTCCTTCCACATTTCTGATGAGTTAATCTCCTTTCCTTTATGAGCTCTTAAGTAATTTAAATATATAATAAGTAACCTTTTCTTGGTTCGTTTTGTCCATTTCAGAGATTGGGGCTTAGTTTCAATGTTTTCTACTATGGATTCCATCTGGACATCTTCGTCTGGTTCTTGAATAACAATTTCTGCATTCTCCACCTGAATATCAGTAACCTCCTGCCCTTCTGGCATCACAATTATGCACTGATAATCTTCTTCTGTAAACAAGAAATGATAAATTATATCAATATACAAATATTACAAAGAGATAACATTTCTGAGTTTAGATGTTTGACAGGAAACAAAATATTACTACAGAAAACGATAAGCTGCTAAAAATGTCTGAATGATATGAATAAATGATTTTTGATTTGATTTGTATCTCCAGTAGTACTGGTCCGATTTTAAAAATATAGGCAGGCTGGCTATAGGCTATAATATTATTCTATGATCAGGTCGACGGTTACGAAAATAATTTTAGCGTAATTTATGATTAAATATAGACTATAGACTATTTCAATCAACGGGCAGCTGTTCCGACATACCGTTAGGATGATGGAAACAGGGCTATTTTATATGCAAGCAATATCCAACGAATTGCCTGTTCAGAATATATAGGGATTTTTGTCATGTTTTCAGATTCGACTATTTTAGAACATACTCAGTGGATTATAATTATATATTTATTGTATACTATGTGGATCATACTAAATCTAAGTAGTTTACTTTCTAAGTTATGTTGTACTATAGAGTATTACTATACTATACTATAGAGATTAGGCAGCAAAATTACAGGATAAGAGGCATGACGTCTTAGTAATTTAGAAAGGCAATGCCTGAGTATGCATGTAGCAGGGTTCTCACATGATATTGTGAGGTCCGTAGTACTATTCATGTATATAGGCGACTATCAAGAAGACCGTAACGTTGTTCGACATTCCAATAATTAAAAAAAATGTATGTACGTAAATTCTCAACTACTATATGTATAATGCAATTTCTTTGGGAAAAAAACTCCAAGATCTAAGAAAAGCAAATAGCCACTTAATTATAAATTTTACTCATACAAACATAGAAATTCTGTTGTGATGAAATAACAAACAGACAGTAATAGTATAAATGATGGCTCACTTACCATCAGGTGAGCCGCATGCTCATTATGCTATAAGAAAAAATAATAAGAAATCTCACCATCTTGTGAATCATTCGGATCTAATATCTCTATTTCCTGTATTGTATCTTTATTATCCTGTTTGAAACTGTAAATTTGATCAAACAATGTATAGTATTTCCATGAAACCTTCATTTGTGGATTGTTTTCTCTCATGGTCTTAAGTTTCCTGTAACACTTTCTTAATTCTATAAATTTCTGGATGCACGAATTCTCAGATTTCCCAGTTGCACTTGACAGGTCTGACCATTTCGACTTGTCTTCCAGATTTTCAGACAAATTTTCGAAATTCTTTCCGAAATAGTTTATGAGTAACTTAATCTCTTTCGCGGTCCATTCTGCGGCGGATTCTGCGTTAAATTTGTTATTTTTCAATTTGGACTTTATAGCTCTATAGCCAAAGACTTTTTTGGATAACGCGTAATAAGGCCATAGGATAGGCATATCTGGTCTGTCTATCTCTCTCTGGATATACCCTGTATAGACCTGTTTTAGGTTCCTAAACCTATGTGCACATTGTTCTGCGGATATACCAATTTGTTTCGCGAGAATTTCCCATAGTACCTGTTTCTTACGTTGTGTCGTGGAGAATTTATCTTTATTTTTTTGATAATATTCGAGAATTTTAAATGCTTTAGAATCTCCAATGCCTCGTTTGGAACGCTTAGTGAATCCCCTCTCGTCATATTCTTCTTCATCTGTGACATTTTCCTGGTTGTCTGCATCAAAATCTATGTGGATCTTCTTTACTGAAAGTTTTCAAAGACAGAATTATGTATTAAATATTAGGTAACAATTCTTTTATTATTTAGTGTAGTAAAATATACTGACTTCAATGATAACAATTATATGAGACCAATACGGAAGTAAAACCTATGGATTACGACATTAATATGTACTATGGAAATGAATAATCAAAATCGACATAGTATTACATACTCAGATTGTAAAGAATCAAAGCACTAAGACAATTGGCAACAGGAATCAATTAATAGATTGCTACGCCATGCAGGATATAGAATCATGTGCTGTTGCATATTATGCTTGCAGTAATTATTGATACCAATGAATAATGATGGGATTATCGTGAAGTAAATTACACCTGTAACTAGTAATAGCGCCACTAGCTCCCATTACTAATAATTTATTTTCCTCTATCAATACATTATAGATTAATATTTCACTACATATGTCTAATGTTATGTACGATAAGGGCTTCAAAAAACATTTTCAAATACAATTAATACTACAAAAAATAATTATACACACCTCCAATTTTTTCTGATTCCGTTTTCTGGCGAATTGCACTAAGTTTCTCGTAACCGTCCATAAGTGTGACATCCATACCGTAATCAAATATCCTATCAAACAATTCTATATACCTCCAACTTATTTGCATATCAGGATTTTCTTTCTTATCTTCTAGAATACTTTTATAAAGATTAGTGAGCTCCTCCCACTGTTTCTTACAGCTGAGCACACTTCTCTTTAACTTCTTACTAATACTTGCCCAGCAAACAAAATAACACAAGAGGTCCTTAAACATTTCTATATTGTCATAAAAGAAATTGACCAAATCATCTAATTCTTCTACCTTCCAAGTCTCCGTAGGTCTTTTATTATTACAGAACTCTATATCTATTTCTTTAGATATAATATTATCCATTACTATATCCAATGGAATTCGATTACGTAAATTATATCCGCCTTCTATATATTTATCTAGATGTGCACATTTAAGCTCCTCAAACTTCTCTTTACATTTTTCGGGTTTTTTATCAAGCAATCTGCCAACTTCAGTCCATAAAAAGTCATTAGGTATAGTAGTATCTTGAAATTCATCGAAACAATCAAAGTGATACTTAGCAAGTACCAATGTCTCCGTTTGATTCCAATCTTCATAATTTGTAACCACTTGGTTATCAGTAATTACAGTAACAGTGGTACTCTCAGTATTGTTTACTCCATATTTACGTTGAAATTCTGGATTGTCAGCAAAAATTTCATCAAAGTATTTCGTGTAAGGCCAATTCACATTATATTCTCCACTTTCGGACCGCTTACTAAGCACCCTTAAATAGTGCTGTTTGTAGTTTAAGAAGCGTTTATGCCAGTATTCTGGGTCATTTTCCCCCATCTCAGTGACTATTCGTTCCCACAAATCTTTACGCCAATATTCTTTCTCAAAGTCTTTTTTGTACTTCAAATACAATTGAAGCATCATCTCCACTTGGGAATCAACAGATCGAGGTGAAGTTATATTTTGTACGACATAAACACCATTATTTTCTGGAGTAGTCGTGACGGGGATATTGGCAATCGTAACATCGTTAGAAACACTATCAGCAAGAGCCATCTTTACAAAACTATCGTCCTGAAATGCTAAATGACAGAGATCATAGAGTGGCCACTTGAGGTGGACACCTTTTTGCTGATTCAATAGTAATTGCGAATATTTCCTTTTTAAATTTCGCAATTTTATATCGCATGCAGTAGGTGTTTTGGCTGGTAACATGTTCTTGCATGCTACAGCCCATAAATGCTTCCTCTGAGCAGAACCGTTAATGAATGTTTCCTTGTTATCGGTATAAAACATTAGCAGACGCTTAGTTTCTTCCTCATGCCACTTTTCTTTGAATTCAATTTGTGTAGGTTCTGGATAATAAACTTCACTAGTACCTTCAATTGCATATAAATTATTACTGTTATCATACTGCTGAACTGGACCATCTACATTATTAATTGTCACAGCTGTTTGTTCACCATCTGTTTCTGTAAATTGTAAATATTTAATGGCCATATTAATAAATCGTTCTTAAATTAATATTATTTTCTTTATAACAGAAAGTGTTATAAGATTTTTAATATGATATGTATCTGGCATGAATCCTCTAAGCTGGAAGATAATAGTATACTTCTACAATATGATTATTACATTGAATTCCATATACAATTGTAGGGAGATATAAACAAAATTTGTTATAAACTACAATTTAATAATATGAATTAAAATAATTTTGTTAAATAATTTAACACATTTAGTTTACTAAATGAACATTATAAAATAAAAGATTGTATATTTTATTTGGAAATGAAAATGTAGACCATGTACCATACCACATGTGGAGTGTTATGCTTTAGAACTGGTAATATATCAGAGCCTAACAACCTATTAAACATTTGTTTTTATATACTCTAGTTTTGTATTGGTTATTTACATTCAATTCAATAAATTACTTAATATTTGTGCTGTAAATGTAGTAAAATTTATTTTTGTTGTTTTGATTGTATTTATAAGCAGTAAATAAATATATGTCTTTGTTTAATTCATGCCATAGCTTTCACGGACTAAAATAAGCATAAAATATAAATGTATTTTGTAACTGTATCAGTAAGTGCAATCATATATTTGAATGTGTAATCAGGGCATGTTAACAATGTATTCACTTATATATTAGGAGGAATATAAGATAATTCTCACCATGAACATAGAATAAGAATATTTCCCCATCAGCTTGCACCTCAGTTTTCACTACCACTTGCTCCATTTTTTCTACAATTATCTGTTAAATGGACATAAAATTAAGACAGTAATGTAAATTACAGGCTTATTTATTCATATACTAGTAACTACATAATTGCTTCTTTACACAGGTGCAATATATGTAACACATGTTTTATATATTAAAATGTTTTACTCACATGTTTTATACCTTCCAAAAGATATACAGTGGACCCGCGGTAATCCGGCCTCCCTTGTAATCCGACATTGTCTATTATTTGTTATTGAATATTACTTTGACAATATACTTCAGAGTGCATATACATACATACATATATAATATAGAATCTTATCACTGGATCTGTAATTTGTCGGATTACAAGGTACTCTTTTGTAAAAAAATTCTGACTATAAGGGGTCTTAGGCAGTACTCTATAATCCGACAAATTCGATAGTCCGACACTGCCCTGCAAAATGATTGTCGGACTACCGGGGGTCCACTGTATATAAAACATGTATTAAAATCTTTTGAGTGGTTTAGAAGTAAGCTGAGAGACAGATAATCTCAGTAACTTTTTGTTTTATACTATTTATTTACCAACCCAGGATGGGTTAGTAATGATTACAAATCTTTTATTTTCTCTGCTTGTTCTATACTATGTATTATGGATATAAACCTTCCGCTTAAATCACTCTATCTATAGCTGAAAACTACATTCAAATCTGTTGTATAATTTAAAATATACAAGCTAACAAATCACAGAGGCGAATTTATATTATACTATGTAGATATTATTCAATAAATAGTTATTAGAGTGCCACCTAGTACCAAACTAAGCTTAAACTATGGGTACTAGACAGACATACAAATACATTTTTTTATAGCTACAAATAGAATGAAACACTAATATGTATTTGGAAATCATACTATACATAGTACACCAAGCCAGGATGTTACTTTGCAAATTTTCTACACCACAGAGGTAGAGGTACACTTTTTTTGTCTAGGTGTGGAAAGATAGGAGTGATCTAGGAGTAACAAGTAACAGATAAATAGAATTTTTTATTATAGTTATTAATATAAAGTACAACATCATTACTTATATAATTTAGAAATAAAAATGATAAAAAGTAATTTATAAGCATTTTATTATCTTAAACTGTTTAAGAAAAACCAAAATAATAATGAACAATTAATGATTATTATAATAATAAAAATAACAATAATTTTTCAATTTACATGAATAAAAATTAGTATCCCAAGTATTCCCAAGAATTTTATACGAACGTGTCATGGGTTTATATACCAAGGGTTTTACAACAATTTATACATTTATCGAATTAAATTAATTGTTTACTTATACTTACAGTGACTTAAGAATATGTTTACTTTATTTCGTAAACATAATTTTGATATTGGCGGTTAAATTAAGTTTGGTCGGATATCACATAAAACATTTTAATACCACGAAGCGCAGCAATGCGTTTTAATACGCCATTTTCTTTTCGTCTCTTTTTTTATTCAATGATTCGAGTGTACTTGTCATTCTTGCCGATTGTCAATGTCAGATATAGTTCGAATTTTATCGAGGGTATATTACACTATCAATACAGAATCGAAGTTTCATCTTTTTGCTCTAAATACTATAAGAGTTTACTTTACAAGGAAATAAAACAAATATTGCGTATCAAGGAAGATATATTTTTAGATAGCTTTTGATAATTCCTTAAAATAAAATAACTAAACAAATTGTCTACGCAACTATAGCAACTTGCCCAATATTTATCAATTTACAAGAACAATTAATCTATTTTCATTGTGTTACTATAAAATATACAACCATTTTTAATTTTGGAACTTATTGTCTACTGTAATTTCAGTTATAATCTTATTGCGTATTCACTGTTGTAATTCAATATCAAGGGGCCAATTATGTAATAATGTTATTAACAGTTCTCCATTGTAACATTGGCAGGATGCCATTTCTTATTATTCATTTGTGAGACGCAGTTACGAGATAAGTTTTACTGTTCGCAATTGCTACTGTACCTATATAACTGCAAAATATTCAATCGGTTATAAAATTGAAAATTGTTAATAATATACTTGGTACGTAATGCGGATGTTACCAGATTACTGTGTGGGAAAAGGAAAATAAAAAATACAAAACATTAATTACAGTTTAGAAACACAAGTTTATTTCATAATTTTAAATCAATACAAATCAGTCAAAAAATAACGTACCCGTTAAAAATAAATGTATAATTTTTACAAATTGTTAGTAGAAACAAAATTCAATAGAATATAATAGAATATTCAACACATGTTGAGCTAGTTATTTTACAGAAATTTCGAATATTGAGTTATTACGTATTAAATACTAGTAACTACTAGTAATTGCCATCGGTTTGTTACAATCAAGTGCGGTGACAGCGCTGCATATTTACGAAATCCTGGGAGATTAAAGAAATACCATGACATGACATTCGTATATAGCGTGTTTTTAGTATCAAATAGATAATATCTCAATGATTTCAGTTACATTGAATATTTTCCCAAATATCCGTAATAATACGTCCTAACTGAAAATACATTTTATTAAAAACAGATATACTTTTAAATAATTATTAAGTATATACACATGCTATACGTAATATAAAATATCTGCAATAATGTTGTATACATCTAAATTTATATATATGTTTTAATACTGATTATTTTGATTCTATAGTTTCAAAATGTAAATACCTACAGCTTAATTACTAAAATAAAAAAGAAATAGAAAAATATATACATACGTAAATAAAACAATGTTTTTATTCGGATTATATAATACTATATTGTCTAACTATTTGGTCTTGTACTACGCTATTTAGTATGTATGTTATGATATGAAGACATACGGGCGTGATTGTTAGGAAGAACTGCTTAATATAAAAAAAATAGAAAAAAATACAATATAATTTTATATAGGCGTATGCAATTAGATAGTCTAATGTACTAATATATTTTCATTATGTACTTTATCACAATAACACTGAATTAAGTCCATAATAGTCATTAATGTCACTATGATAAAGTACCATAGTGTTTTACGTATAGTAACGACTGTAAAATTTCAAATAGGTATATCTGAAGCTCGATAATGCAGCGCTGTTGCTAACAATTCTCAGTTAAAACTGATTAATATCTACAACTATGTATGGACACTTTCACTGTGGCATTACAAACAACATATATTTATATGCGAAGTGGCAAAAAGCAACCGCCGCGCTGTCACGAGTCAAACGTATTAAATTTGGTTTGTTTTCAGTGTTTTACACAATCGGAGTGTCAATCAAAAACATAAATTGACAAAAGCGTTGCGCAAATTTGAACTAACGACCGGACTATGTCGGATAGTTACAATAACTTGTCCATGAAACTCTAAAAATTGTAATTAAGTGTTACAATTATATGTATAAAATTTTTGACAAATACAGTTTCTGAATCTTTTGAATCTGGTACAATTGAGAATTGTTAGCAATTGCATTGCGTAATAAAGCAGCACGTGGTACGCATAAAGCATACGGATATAATATATTGGAATAGTATAATTGGAGGACAGGATTTATAATTAAACTGCTATGTACTTATTTGTACTGAGTTTTAATATACCAAGGGCTGCCTCTCACATAAATATTCCTTAATTCCTATTTTTTACAATACGTTATGTAGACATTACATATTCGATCTATTTACTTTTAGAACAACTACTTTTTTTATTGAAATATCTGTTTCTATAGTCAGATTTACAAATCACAAAGTTGCTTATATTGGAATGATTTATCTATTATTGTTATTCTTAGTATGATCTAGAAGTACATAATATGTACATGAATTAATGTAATTTTCATTTACATCGCATATGCATTGAACCCGTCGTGGTCCAGAAACAAAACTACCTCCCACCATTCTGGGCTATCTTTACCAAAACCGTTGCAATCAATTTTCATTTAAAATGGCTAAATTCCACAATTTTATGATTGACCATTTGACATTTGACTAACATGCTATCTATGAATTACCTTATAACCGCAATTGCAACTTTTGATCGTTACATATAAACTGGGTAGATCTTTGATATTACGCAATGTAGTATTGTTTGCAACTGGGCTATTTAACAAATGAGCTGTCTAAAAGAAGCATGTCTGACTGCTTCTTTTAGAGTATACTACACAATAACTTTGTTTACATAAGATAGTAAAATTTATATGTTATATACATTACAATAAATGTTACACTTGGAAATTTTACAATAACAGGATTGGGGACACCGAGAGACAATTATTGTCGCCTTTAACTTGGAATTACAAATACTTTTTATTTAGCGTAACCATAACATTACAGAATATTTTTGAGTGTACTTGTCACTTTGGAAACTTTAATAAAATCCCTCACAGACAAGGAAATATCGGTTACACCCGAGCGACCGGCCATTTAGTTCCTTTCCTTTTATTAATTGAAATAACTGTTGTTGCCAACCAGATCTATTCGTCATTCCCCTACTGTACATACCTATAATTTTATACCAAATAACTGAATAATTGATGTATTAACGGCTGTATTACGTGACTATTTCCTACTTGTATAAACAGCCTGAAATTATCAGTTCAGCCATAATGTAATTGCTATTTGACAGTTTTAATTTCTGAAAGTGCATAATCGCTAAATTGCCAAATTGATTTGTTTCAAATGAGAAACTCAGCCGCGTGAGATTGATTATAACAGTTTCTACAACTGCTTGAAAATTGATTGTCTACTAGTATTTTACACAAATAAAGTTATTATAAAAAATACATGAAAAGTAGAAAAAATATATCTTAGATAATAATGGCATTAAAAATACATATGCAGAATACATAGGTTTACTCAAATTTCATATATTTGAAATGCACTTTATTTGCACTGATTTAAAAAGAAACTTGTATTCATGCATATCACAGAATATTTCTTAAAGGAAAATATTAACAGTATGGTAACATATAGTGTGTGAATTAAAAAATTAATTACGGATGAAGCAAAATACCGAACAGTTATTTTATTTCATAAATAATTAATTATATTTTCTACGCCTTCACGCTTTCGTGAAACTCACTTCCGATACATAAGTAGATATTACTACGCGCCTAACACATGAAAACGATGTATAAAAATTGCTCCTATTAAATATTAAAGTGTACATAACGCTGCTTCTAAAAAAATATTTCTTATATTGTATAGAAATACAGGCTTAGTTGTAAAGGGTATACCTACTAAGGCGATAGTCGAATACTAGGTATATGCTTTTTTGAAAAAAAGATACAACGTTGCTGAAGTAGCAATGTTGAAAATTAAGTAGTTATTTTAAATTGCAGTAGGTACAAACTGTACGATACGTCTCCGTGGTCAATTTAGTATGGATTGTTCAAAATATACGTTCAAATTTCCTCTTTATTTCTTGGGAAATGTGGTTCAATTTAGTACTGGCATTCCCAAACACCATATAAACTTAGCAAAACCAATACCAACCCTTTAAGACTAACCCTGTATAAAATTGAAGACTGTATAAAAAAACAAATACATTAAGGAGGGATTACAATAACAGTAAATATAATTGTTTTCTAAACTACTTCAAATAACATTTCATATAAAAAAGGAATAAATGATTCGAAATTTAAAATTAGTTTGTTCGATTACAAAATATAAAACTTGATTTTTACTGTATGTAAGTATAATTTGGCTGTTTGGCATTTTAAGTGACTGGAGTAAGTATTTTGTTTTTAGTAATTTACTTTCATCTAATGAAAATCCTATGTGGAATAGAAGGGAAGACTATGTTTAAACTTCCAAATTTCACAGTACAGATTCTAAAACGATTACATTATTTTATTATATGTAATTTTATCTTATCTGTGGTAATATTATACTCTGTGGTTAAAACAGTTATATTTCAAAAATGGCACTTTCATCAACCATAGTTAACTTACATTAAGTACGCCTAAACATTTACTTAACAATTAGTTTTGTATAAATTTAAATTATATTACACAGTAAGACTTAGTTTATACTGTGTTTGTATTTTAGTCAGTAGATATTAATTTAATCCGTACTTATAATAGCACTAACTTGTAAACACAGTGTGAACTAGGATTTATGCATAACAACAAACGAAATATTTACGACTATACTCAGCTAATTTTAGGTTACATTTAACGTAAAAAGCATTACAGACATCAAAATTTAAGGCTACCAACATTTGAATAAGTACCATTCCAAATATAAATTTGATAATATATTCTTTTAACATACTACGTTCTTTTAAATAAATATTATAAATTACTCTACAATTATGATTAGTTGGCATTTAGGAAAGTTTGTTATAAATTTATGAATTAATTAAACATGTTCTTTTTTTAAAAAAATCATTTTCTTTCTCTTGTGTTCATTACATTTTGGCGCGCAATATGCACGTAGGAACAGTGAGCGCTATTTATTTACAATAGATACTTACGTAATTTACTTTTTAATTCGCCTCTATGACCTGATTAGATACCGATTAAAACAGCTGCTAAGCTCATTACACATACAATAACTATCAAAAGATCTCAACTTTCGCCTTTACAAATATAGATTAATGTAATATATAATACAGATAAGCCAAAGCTGTATACGACACAGATGGCCTATTTTGTTTTATTGATTACTCACTCTATGGCTTTCATATACCACTGCTGAAATTATATTGTAGCCGGGCCAAAGCTTATTAGCAATAACGCCTATATTTGTAAGATGCTGGCAAAATTCGACCACATGACCTGCGCACTACGCAGTAACAAATTTTACGTACAAAATAGGTTACTCCGCAATTTCTAATGTCTATGGTTTTGTTCACGTTGTTTATAGCGAGTTTTACCATACTTCGCATTTGTGCTTGGGATTCATTTTTGATCCAATGGGACAATGGAATTCTTCTGAAAACTCCTTCAAGTTTGATATGGGCCCGATGACTCTGTATTTTGCAACGGTGTGGTCATCTTTCTCTATTTGCATCTTCGTTGACTCCTTGGTCATCGCCGAACACCATACCTAGAAAATGTGTGTATAATTTTAGTATTGCTTCAAACTTTATTAAAATAAAATAGTAAGTTAGAATTGGCTTTCATTGTATGTAGTCTGTACTGTAATGTATTTGTTTAATTATTGCTAAGACGTGCAAACTACTCTTAGAAAATGTGACGTAGTACGTTAGGTTCAAACACTTTGACGGAAGATGGACTTTGTCAAGATAGAATATGAAGAGTACTTCACTAGATCATGCTGATCTTATCATCCTCCACTGGTACCAGCGTAGGTATGCCCATAACATAAACAGGTGCACTGTCATATTATTACCTTTAAAAAAATACATACAATAATGTATAAATATAGTCATACCTGAGCAAAAGATATAAAGAACAGTTGTCTATGATTGTACTTGAGGCCGGGCAAAGTCAAGTTCACGGCGGCGTCTTTGCTCGAGCTGTAGTCGAGGTATGCGTGGAAAGAAGCTTTTAAACCACCGTTGTCTGCTATGTTCTCGCCTTAAAAATAATTAAAAAAACTAAATTTATTAAAGTAAAAGAAAAATATTCAAATAAATTTAATATACGCCTTAATTTTTCTATTAAGATACATAGGTATCTTAATACCGGCAGCTCGACTAAATATATGTAGTATATAGATACTACATATATTTAGTCGAGCTGTACTATAATCTGTTTTTTCAATTTTAACGCTAAATATTTTAAATAGGTATTAGGTGTTTAAATATGTAAAAATATGACACCATACGGAGGTAATTTGTATTATAAAAATGAAAAAAACTATTTTCAACAACAATACTATATCTATTAAAACTATCATATAGATGTGTGTGTGTCACATGATAATGTAGTGTCCGTAGCACTGTTCCTGTATACAGGCGATAGTTACTGCTTACCATCAAGTGGGTCGTGCCGCCGTCAGCTTGCATGTCATTCAAACTACATAAAATAAGTTACAGTAGCTCAGTAGTTTTAATATTCAAGTCAATACAAAACTATTATATTTTTTGTAGTTCCCGAGTTATCCTAGATTTTAATATACACATTTCTATGTATAAACATCGAAATGTGTGTAATCGTTCAAATATTTTACTGAATCACATGTTTTTTATACCAATTCACATAACTAAAGCCACTGGTTATTACAGAAAATTTCAATAAACAAACCTAGAGTTTGTTTCCCGTTCAAGTGTTGTCCCTCCACAGTGTAGTCGGAATATTGTTTCTGTATACATTCCGCTCGTTTTTTAAACCGGTCTATAGTTGCGTTATTCCACCATTTGTTCAAATTGCCAAACCTATAAAAATATATGTTTATCTTTATTATATCATTGATATACATGTCAATAATAATAGCACAAGACAATTTACATAGGGGCATCTAGTCCCAAGTTAAGCAGACCTTGTGTCATGGATACTAGATAACTGATAAACCTACTCATTCATACAGAATATTTTTTTTATAAATTTATAAATACATAATATAGATAGAAAACACCCAGACCAATAAAATCATACTCGATCATAGTAATCATACTCATGAAAACACATGTTTGCATCGTGCGAAGAATCGAACCCACGACCATTAGAAATAAAGCAGTATACCGGTGTATCAGAATTCAGATATAACGTAATTTCCGTAGTGGTGTTCTAGGCGTTGGTTACCACTTACCATCAGGTGGACCGTCAGCTAATCGTCATGACATGGCAAACCAGCTGACGAGATAAAAAAAGTTTACCTGTCATACTCTCTCCCCTGGTCATCAAACGCGTGTGTGAGTTCATGTCCCATGACCACTCCCATAGCTCCATAGTTGACACATTTAGGATTGTCGCCATCATAAAACGGCAACTGCAGGATACCAGCGGGGAACACTATCTGGTTCTTGGTTGGTGTGTAGTACGCGTTCACAGTAGAAGGGGTCATACCTGACGACAAATTAAAAAAAAAAATAATCAGGCCCGAACACGAATAATTTTATGGGATATTGGTGTTAAACCCGATTAAATTTAATCAATCAATAATTGGAAAGGGACTATATTTTTACCGACGAACTTCTATAAATAATTTGATAAATGTAGAGGAAGAATGAGAAAGAAGATTTTTTTGTTATATCATCTCTACCACCTGGCACACTAATGAAAGAAAGATGTGAAGATATGTAGCTATGCATATGTCTTACCCCATTTAGTTTTGTTGACGGGCTGATCTAACTTCTTGAGGTCATTCCGCAAACTGAACACGTTGAATGCGATGTTGTTGTCAAAATACTCATTTGGCTTCACTACCAACTCCTCGTATTGTTTGTTCAACTCGTCTTTATGCAGGATGTAGTCAGGGAAACCTATAATTGTATTCTTTTAGTCTACTGGATGTATTATTTTAAATCTAACAGTAGCAAAAATATATACTTAAAATAATAAAAATAGTAACGACTTTTGCACCAAAGTCAAATTATCTATTTTTTGAGAAACTCATAAAATTTAACCAATAATCCCTTATATAAATATTTCCCACCTACTTTATTTTTAGGTATGAATTTATGTTCACAATTACCTATCATATCCGTGATAGCGTCTGCCTTTGTCTCCGCTGCTTCCCTAGTCTCCGAATCCATCCAGTCCAAGTTCTTGAGGTTTCTCTTGAAAGCGTTTCGTATGTTATCAATCATAATCTCGCCTTGGGTTTTTGCTTCACCGTGGAAAACTTCGCGGACAAACATGGCACCGACTGCAAAGCCTAAAGAACACAAGGTAGCATAAAATAAAAAAAGGTCACGTTGAATACACGGGGCCCAGAATTTGTCCTTGTGGAAGTCCATTGAGAAAGTAGAATAATGAATAATAAATTGATAGTAATGAGACTAGTTAACTCGCGTAAAATGTATTATTAATTTTAAGACATTAACAATGTCCGACTAATCTGTCAAAGATTAAAGATTGTATAAGGAAATTTACATTGAATTTCCTTACCAGCATTCGTTACACAACACAAAAAATACAGCTTTTGACTTAATAATGAAAATAGCTTAATTTATATAACTGGCATAACGTGAAGAAATGCATGAATAGTAGTTAAAGTAGTCTACAGTACAAAGAATATCGTAAAATGAACTTACCAATAGCATTGTTAGTGTCGGTAACACAATATCTCCAAGACTCTTCTGTACCCTCAGAACCAAACAGCGCTTTCCTTAATATCTTGGTTGCATCTCGGAAGGACTTCGACAAATATGTAGACAATGAGCGCGAAACTTGCCACATCATATAACTGGTAACAGTTCTGTAAATAAATAAAGTCGCATTTAGAGAAATACAAACAATTCGAATATATTCGTATACTGCCCTAGCATTTAATCCCTATAAGAATTTATTAAGTCCTTATCCAACATTCCAGATAAAACTGAAAATGAAACTAACTACTAAACTGAAATAAAACTGAAATAGGTACTAAATGCTAGAACAACAAACTGGTTAAAATCGAATGCTCTGACAAACAATATTAATCTCAAATAAGAAACGTGGAAGTTATTACTATTGTATCAAATATGTTACTATTGTAATTATTAAGTTCAAAAGAGAATTCATTGAGTGGATTGTTGGTAGCTGTAGCGCATCATCATATACAAAGAATGTGGCCTTGCTCTTTCAATTATTTTAATGGAAATCATCAACATCTTTGTCATGATAAGAAGTCATTTATTCCTCTTCCAATACATCTGGCTTAATTTTGTCAGTGATTCATCCATAGGGATTGACCAATTTCCGTTCGTGTTGTAAATAATATGTATGTGAATGTAAATACTTACTTCTGATCATCTTCAGATTTGCTATATTTTCTTAAAACTTTAGTGAGATTTCTGAAGTATTCAGGCGCGTATACTACTATTCTCTCAGTATCGGGTATCTAAAATATTAAGTATTTAATTTTAAGAGTTCTATAAATTATTTAAATTGATTCCATCTACGATGTCTAAAGTTTTAAATAATACGTGTGTAAAATAAAACTTACCGTTCTATTAACCAATTTGAAAGCATCATTAAAGAACATAGTCCAATTCAGGAATGGCGCTTCCTTTTGCCATTGCCTTATAGTGTAAGGGTTATACAATCCCTCTTCATCCCTTCTCTCCTCAGAGGGGGTGGTTATATTTGCTAAATCCGTTTCGAACTGTATAACTTTACTCATTTGAGATCTAGCTTCAGATTTGTTTGCGCCTAATAATACGCAAACTCGAGTCATGTAATCTAAGTATGCATCTAGTACTTTCTTATGTGCTGTTTTGTTCAGATAGTTATCTCGGGTTGGTAGATTCAGGCCGCCTTGGTCCAACTGAAATAAATTTACATCCAATTTATAATTCATAACACTATCAGTAACATTAGTCGTAGCTTGCTAAATGATAATACTTTAAAATATAACTTTAAATACTAATGTTATGTTATTCACGGGATGTGTTACTTACAACTATAACATGTTTGGATGAATTCCTGTCATCTTCTGTCACCGCCCAATTAAATAATCCACCTAAATTGTAACTGAAAAAAAAATAACACTATTATACAAATTGATTCCATAAAAAGTAATTATTAGGGCCGTATGCTTAACAGAGAATATTAAAAATAATAAAATTGACTCACGAATTTTGTACATCCTGGAGTAGCCTCTGCAAATCAAACTTAGGCTGTTTGATCATGGTACTGGGGAGGATGTGCCAGCCCCCCAGTTTCTTGATGATGTTCACCAGAGGCTTCTCGCCCAGCTTCTCTATGGTCTCGTTCGTGTCTATACACGCATCATAGTACACACGGGCTTTTGCCTCAGCACCAGTATTGTCTGTGGTATTCACTTTTTCTAGAAAAAAAAAATATACAATCATTTACAACCTTCAGAGGTAAGGTTCTTTTCAAGCAACTGTGAAAAGGAGAGGATGCTCTAATTGACGGTATTTTTGTGTATTTTGGTAATTCACTAGACGTGTATAGCGAGACTGCCCGCGTGAATACGGAAACCTTAATTAAAATCAGTCAAATATTTATCGAGATATCTATTACAAACAAACATACAAAAATAAATAGCTTTCCTCTTTATAATAACAGTACATTAGTTTAAAAGCAAATTAATATATATATACCCGCGGTTTGTTCAGATGTAATAAAAAAACCCTTCACATTTCAGAGAGCGACATCTAGCCGAAAAACAACTTGATATATTTACATCCATTTTTGTATCAATATATACATAAAATATATAAAAATAAACATGCTTCTGAATACAAACGTTTGTACTGTGAGTGGATCGACCCAACCAAGGTCGTCAAAATGTTGACAATGTTGCGTCTAAACTGAACAGATTTTGATGACGTTTTTTGCAACCGATAGGGTGTAGTAGGTAGGTGTGTAGATGTGTGTTGTGCCCTTGATAATTTAGGATTTTTATTGATAATAAATCAAAACTAATCTGAGTAGTCAGTATTAATTCTGAGCAAAATCACATGTTTCGTTTGCTATATTGACTTTGACAGTGTTTCTACCCCATCTGGAATTACAGATTTATTTATTAGGGTATTAAAGCTTATAATATTATTTATTTTCCTAAACAAAAAATACAATAGCATATCTGAAAAGAATAAGAGCCAAATTTCTTGTCAGTTCTTCTTTAGTTCGAAAGCACTTCGAACTGTCGGTAGATTTGACATGTCACGTATGTAATATGGCTCACTATGATGAGGTGTAATAGACCTACATGAATTAATATATTTTGATTTTATTTGATTAGTTTTTTAAATATTTAATTATTCATTCTTATACCTATCTTAAGCCTACTATAAACGTTGCTAATAATAATTAGTACATAATACATACATACATATTGTGTAGGTATTTTACCCTTTACATATCGATTATTAAGCTTATAAAATAAATAAACAATACAAAAATACATATTTTAAGTCGCTAAAAACGAATCGTAGTTTGTAGAATCAGTAAGTATGTAGGTACGTAGGTACGTTTGTTCGTGAATTACAGGCAATAATATATATAAACATTATCATTTTAAAGGTAACAATCCAATTTTCGTTTCTGTATGTGTGTACAACAAGATCTAATTCACGGAAACATACTAATTCGTTATTAGTATAGCAGCGTAAATACAGAATGCAAAAGTACACTTATGCTCGAAATAAAACAAAAGTGTAAAAATTAATTTTAATATTACTATATCAGAGTTAAAGTTAGAAGTGAAAAAATTGGAAAAAGTTATTAATTAAAAAGCTGCGCCTTTTTAATTAATAACTATTTCCTAGTTGACTGTATTTAATAATATAGTTAAAATAATAATATACACAGTACATTACTAATTAGTAAAGATTTCTACACAGCAATAGTAGTTATATATATGCAAAATCTATTTCTATATAAATGGTTTCTATATAAATGGACTCCTTTTGCGTCCATTGCTTAGTAGTTTTTTTAGGGGACTGTATTAAAATTACTATAGCGTAATAATAGTAAACATTTAAATACATTTTGCTGTGCTCCTGTTTGCTGAACATATTTTTACTGTCATCTACGATTTTTTAGTTAGTTATTTTTAATTTTTTTACTATATGGAATGCTATCAAAAGTAGACGAGGAAAAATATTAGGACACTTGATACAGCACGATGAATGTACTAAAGTAATTTATGAAGGAAAGATAAAAGGAAAGAGGGGGAGAGGAAGACCAAGGCACAGCTACATCAAGCAAATGAAAGACAGAGTTGCAGTAGTGTCGTATCAAAGTTTAAAGAGTATGATGGGAGATCGTAGAAAGTGGCAAGAGCTCCACCGACCAGAGTGTTGCTCTTAAATTTGAAAGAAGAAGAAGAAAGAAAGAAAGAAAAATATGAATAAATATGAGTTATTTTCAAACTGAACTGTATACTAATAATGCACTTTCATAACCAGCATCTGTGGTCATAGCAGAAAATAATAAGTTTTGTAGTGATTCTATTTTTGCTGTACTCACTTTTGCTGTCGTTCTAGATTTTTTTATTGGTAGTTTTACACTTTTATAATTACTTAGTAGTTTTTTTTTATGGTGGACTGTATCTAAGTATTGGCCGTTAGTAACTGGTATAGTCATATGTGGTAACAGTAGTAAATAATATGTAAATATTAAGTTCTCGTATATCGACACCTTTATAAGGCATGATAAGTACACGCATTGTTTGATTTATTTTTCAAAGTGTTAATTTTTGCAATATTGTTTTGTAAACAAATTGAGATTTTCCTGATGTTACTAGAACTGCATTTAGCATACAATAAACCTTAATAGTAAAATTATAGAGAGCACATTAGGATGTATTGAAGCGTTAACATTTTGTATTGTTAAAAATTGTTTTATAATGAATTTATATATATATTTTTAATTGATAATGGAATGGTGCACCCGTCTGCACTAACGGTTTACTCTGGCGGGGCGCCAGTAGAGGATGATAAGATGAACATGAGGTCAGGTCAGTTAGACCATCATAATAAATTTACCAGGAACTTATCACAATGGCTTCCAGGGGGAACCGCGTGGAGTTCAACTAAACATGGTACATTGCTGGCAATGGACTAATGATCCACATTGTTAATAATATAATTATCCCCCCAATATGACGGCATTGGTGGTCTAGCGGTTTAGCATACCGCCTTACTTCCGATGGTCGCGAATTCGATTCCTTGCCCAAATATTTATCTTCATGAGTATGATTGTTTGTATCAGTCTGGGTGTTTTCTATGTATAATATGTCTGTATTTAAGATAAAAAATATTTATTTGTAACAGTTGTCTAGTACCCATAACACAAGCTGTAGCTAGCTTAACTTGGGTCTAAATGGCGTTTTGTGAATTGTTCTGAGAAAAAAAACCACTTTTGTTAACAATCATATTAAATAAATATGAAACTGATAACGAAAGGCAAGAAATTAACGTTAATTTTATTTATAATAGATAGTATGGACTATTTATAATACATAATAAGACACGTGTCAATATAGCATTGAAAATAACAGACATTACAATTGTCAAACAAAAAATGCGTATAGCATTAATAATACAATAAATTTTTCCATGACATATTATTGATGGATTCTAGAATGATCTTATGATTTTCCATAACAATCATAGTATTAAGAAAATTGTTATATTGATTTTTTGGAACCAAAAAGTTTCACTTTATCACAGTTTCCTTGTTACACTCTTTTTTATTTAATAATAACGACATCTAGCGGGTAAAATTATATAGCTGCACCTAAAAATACAAGTGACAAAAGAAGATAAATGAAAACAAGCTAAAATTTTGAATTCCAATTTCAAAAAAGAACCATTTGCGAAGCTTTATTTTATACAATGTAAGCTTTGTAAGCTGTGTTTCGATTATGGCAGTGAAAGTTTTGGATATGATGGATATGATACCTTTTTTCTTAAGAATAGTAATGTATGATTTGAGACCGTAATATCTGTAATGCTGTTTATTACACAAGTACATAAATAGTACGCAAGGATTTCACTGTCAGTTGCCTCTTTCCATCCAGTGGGCTATAAATTAGTTCCTCATTCTAACTACATAACAAATTTAAAAAACAAAACTGCTTACCGAGCGCATAACGTATAGTTAGTTGATTCTGCAATTCAATGTTACTGAAGATCCCCCAAGTGGATTTTCCCTCGGGTATAGGGTTGTTTCTAATCCACCCGCCGCAAGCGAACTCATAGAAATCATTACAAGGGTCCTGGGTCTCGTCTAACGCTCTAATCACCTCGCTGGCAGTGTAGATACATGAACTTGAGAGGCACACGCTGGAGTCTCCTGAAAATTGGGTTTTATTGGATGTTAAGAATATGCAAAAGCATGCGCTATTAATATACGTTGAAGGACACAAGTTAATATAAGGATGAAGTCTGGTGGGCTGATCATTGTGGTAAATTCATTACAAAAATTAAATGCAAGTTTCCAGGGAACCGCGTGGAGGTTGGCCTGATAATTATATATACATATATATGTTCCTATCCATAAGGTCCCAATTGCCAACAAATCCTTTTCCAAATCTTGGAAAAGGTTTTAAGATAGATAAGTTGATAAATTATGAATAATGTGTATATAACTTTGTTCTCGGACATCTTGAAATGTAACCAAGGGAAATGAAATTAGTAAAATAAATATGCAAATAATAACGGACAATTCATACAGCGCCATGTAAATAATCAGAGAAAAATCTTAAATAAAACGGCCTCCAAACCTGCAACCCTCCCCACACAGATGGAATGGCAAAAGCAATTTATATGACGAATTGACCATGGATAAATTATGATGGTTTGCGTGGAGGTCAATATAATATTGTAAATTCTTAGCAATAGGTTTTTATTCCCCAGTACTATCAATTCCTTCCCTCCATATGATATTAGAGTTATTTCAAAAACATAACAATACTAAGAATTGTCCACAGACGTCATAATGCGAGCTATAAATGAAATTGCCAAGGCGTGTCTGCCATCTTCACTAATATACCTAATAAATAGGAAAGTGCGTCTGTTTGTTACCTCTTGACGCCTTGACATTATGTACTCACGTGGCACGTGGGATAGAAATAAAAAAATAGTATTATTTTTAACGCGATTAATCAAGATATCTACACTGACAATTAATAATTATAATAACTAATCTTTTGTGAATTATTTCATATATTTGGACATTTCAAAGTGAAACGAATTAATTAACATATGACATATTCTGCCAGTTATTTGCATAAATAGTATGATAAGACTAATTAAAAAAGAAAGAAGTAGGTAGACGAATTAGTCGGTAGAGACAGTGATAAAAAAAATCATATGTGTAATCCCACTCGAATACATTCTAAGTCCCATTACTTCAGCTGCGGTTAAAACCCCTATTATACCCATATCATGGTAAATGGTTACCGTAGCCTACGGATGCCTGAAAAACCAGTGTTGTCACGAGTGTTTTACCGACCCTTAAAAACCTTTTAGGTTTTTTAGTAACCCCATGCTGTAGTCTCCAGAGGTAGATAGTTCATACCACAATCTAAGTGTATGTATATATATGAATCTTATAGGAATATTAACATCATCTTCATACCTTTTGGTTCTGGTTGATAGCACGGCGGTACGGGCAGATACGAAGGACCTTTCATGGCCAGGAGTAAGGATGTGGTAAGGAGTACAGCGACCAGTAGAGCTGCTATCAGAATCAAAAGCACCCTTTCCAGCTTCGTTCTTTGGTGCCATCCTATGAAAGAGACGCCCTGGAAAAGAAGAATAATTTCTGAAACATATTTTTTTATCTCCAATACATTTAACAATAACTCAGAATTATTAACACAGCGCCATCTATCTCCAAGCTAAGCAGAGTTTGTGGTACTAAATATTTTTTTTATTTTTAAGTACATTTTTTATAAATGCATATTGTATTGGTGTTTTTTTTTGTTTTGTAAATACACGTTGCGTATTTTCTAAGAATTAGATATGTATTATAAATAGAAAACACCCGATGTGTATTTACACTAAGAAAGAAGAAGATTCAGGCCAAGACAATCATATTCAATTAAAATTTATTTATTATTAATTAATAATAACAATGATTATTGTGTGGAATTTTAAAATACAAAATTAAATAATCTAAATCTAAAATAACAATGTCAAAATAATAATAATACCAATAACAATTTACGAATTGAGCTACAGTAACGGTCATTTATCAAAAAATTCGTCAACGGAGTAAAAGCATTATTTTTAATAAATATTTGTTAAGTTTAATTTTGAAATTGGTTTTATAAATAGCATCTTTTAAATCACTAAGCAATCTATTAAACAGTTCACCCAAACATTCGTATTTAATCAATTTTTGCGCTAGGCATCAAACCCGCGACTATTGGATGTAAGACGGCTAACCGCTAGACCACCGAAGCAGATAATATACATGACTATTCTAATTCTAAGAACAATTCAGACAATAAAACAGCCTTGAATCAAATGAATAAACACATCCTTACATCCTTACACAGCCTTACATCAAATGAATAAACACACAAACAATCAGCTTCGTGTATCTATAATATTATATTTGTTTCGGCAGGGTAAATAAAAAATCGTCCGATATTGTTTAAGAAACTACATTTTATATTATACTATCTATTCGCCCAGCTTCGCACGGGTGTACATGTATTATATATATAAACCTTCCACTTGAATCACTCTATCTATTAAAAAAAACGCTTAAAATCCGTTGCGTAGTTTGAAAGATTTAGGCATACACAGACAGCGACTGCGACTTAGTTTTATACTATGTAATGATTTTACTATATTTTTATTAGGTACCTATACATATAAAAACATGATGTCTTTATTATAAAAAAAAATGTACCCTCCTTTGTTCAATTAATCACATATAAAACAATAGAACATTTTTTTTCATCCAATTAATACGATAGCGTATACATTAGTTGGAAGAAAAAAAACGTTATAGCACAGATAACATAATATTACATAGTTATAGAAAGTTTTTAATACAATTTTTTTATTAATTCCTGAAATTAATTATATAAGTTATTGTTTTACATTAATTATTTACTATTGTATTATACATAATATAAAATAGATCTGTTTATATGTGTAGATAAATATATATCATCTATTATAGATAGACACATCTATTATATGTATATACTATTATATTTTATTTAACCAATATATATTTTACATAATAATGTATAATATATATTGGTTAAAAAAACATGAAGTATATATTAAATACTGGCTATTACCAGCGACTTCGTTTACTTTTCCTAGGTCATAGATAGCTTATGACCATTCACGTACTGCAATATATCTTCGTGTCAAATTTCATTAAAAACCGTTCCATAGTTTAATAGCACAAATGTAACATACAAATAGATATACTTTCACATTTATAATCTTACTAGCGACCCGTCCCGGCATCTACGGCATCGACTTGTTCTATACTTTAACATCTATGTATTATACATATAAAAATTCCTTTTGAATCTATCTTTTAATGAAAACTGCATTAAAATCCGTTGCGTAATTTAAAAGATATAAGCAAACAGATACTGGAGGGGACTTTATTTTATACTATGTAAAGAAGTATAGATAATTATTTAAAAAAAATATATTTCCTAGAATTTATTGCGTCTCATAACTTACATTACTTTATGTAAAGGTTATGAACAATAAATCAATAAAAAACGGATTTAAAATATCAACTAATCCAAGAATAATAGAACAAAACGACCGTCTAGCTCATTTATAAAAAGCATCCTCGAAATGAACTGCCATTTTTATATGCAAACTTTTTCAATCTAATTCAAGTAACTTCATAAATCAAATTGAAGAAATATGGTCTGTAAAGAGTTCCCAAAAAGGTATAGGTAGACATAGCCTATACATTAGCAAATTGTTCTTCTAGCCTATAATTAGCAAAATCTAGAAATATTTCCGAAAAACATGCACAACATGTGACAGGTGTTGCGTATTATTAATTAGATTAATTACAAGTGTTTGGTTTTATAATTAATTATTAATTAGAGTAATTAATGACTAATTGCACTTAAGATTATAATGACAACACTAGTTTAAGTCAGGTATTGACCGGACTATTGGCCAATCAATACCCTTTCAAGAGAAATCTTGTTTCCGTTGAGGATAGATACGTCTGGCGAAACGAACTGAGCGATGGCTTAACTCTACAGGCTAAAAGGAAATCATAGCGAGTTTTACATTTCACATACCGCCATCTATTGACGTCTTTGTGAACTAAAGTCCACTACGGTAAACTGAAGGTCTTTTGTACAAGTCTAGTATAGCAGTATAGTAATAATTGTATACTTTATTAATCAATTTAATATGACTGAAGGAATGATAAATATAATATGTACTATTTTATGTCTGCGAAATTTATTTATGTATATATATATATATACATAGAGATAATAAAATTAGTAAAACGGTGATGTCTGTATTATAAATACTGGAATCTGTAGCTTTAGTGCGTAAGGATTTTTTAATTCAATATTACTACTACTTTTAGGACCACAAAATCTTTTTTTTTTTATTAAAATAATATACTGTTTTTACTATACCTAAATAGAAAAAGCAAGTATTAAATATTTTGTTAGTCTTTACATGGTTGTTATCTTTATCATTTATAAAAATATCATTACATTTCCTATACCATTTGAAAGAGAAAAAATTGCTTATTTAAAGTAGCCCAAAAAGCTATATCTGGAATTCTGTCCTTCCTCACTAGAGGCACACCAATGGGGGATCTGTTGGTCTGTTTTTTATACTTTCTACACGCGTCATGCAATGAGTTTTCACCTATGTATTGCTAGAGGTCTAACTAAAAAAAATATTCCGTGCATATCAGGGACAGAATCCTAATTTAAATAATAAAAAAAACATTTTCGAAAGTATAAAATTTCTTCCATCTCAGTAATTGGTAGTAGACAATTGTCGCAATAACACTTCAACCCTTTGGACTTACGAGTAAAACAGTTTCGGAGGGTTGAACTATTTTATTATTCCACTTTGTATCGAAATGGGATAAAACCTCGTTACCAACGGTTTCATTTTGTTGGGATCGTTTTATTTTACTGCGAAGGAGGTACTTGTATAAAGGAGCAGGTTTATTGTTACCTACATCTTATATATAAATTTCTCGTGTCGTGTTAGTTACCATACTCCTCCTAAACGGCTTGACTGATTGTTATGAAATTTTCTATGCATATTCAGTAGGTCTGAAAATCGGTTTCTATCTGTTTTCATACCTCTAAGTGTCTTTTTTTATAATGTGGTATTAAAAAATACATACAACCAAAAAATTTCTCCCTTCTACTATCAACCCCTACTTTTAATAGAGATTTTAATTTATATGGCAAAACGTTTGCAGGGTCAGCTAGTTTTATATACTGCCCTTAACTTGTGACCTAATTTAGGTATGGCCCTCAATCAGCCGCATGTGTTGACGTATGTACAATCACCAGATGCTTCCAGATGGGCCATATGTATTCTTATCACGTACTGACTTATGGGAATCGATACTGTCGCTATCAGCCAAGGTAAACTATCACACAACCCAGCACTGTGTTTTCAGCATATATTGTGTTATACATTTTTACCCTACTACTGTAAAGTAATGAGTACAGCCTATTATTATTACATCCAACATTGTGTCATACATTTTTAGCTTATTACTATAAAGTAGTAGAGTAGAGAACTCCCTATTATTATTAATAGTGGTTGTCCAATGGTCGAAATACGACCATAATTAATTTCAATTACCAGTTTGAGCAATTACGGTTCTATTGTCAAAGATTATACTTTATTAAAAAGCGAGGGAAGAAAAAATGATCAAAAAAATAAAAAAGGGCGTAGACCTTCAGTCTATGGGAAATAAAGGCGTAACTTAAGTACATAAGTCAAATTCATGCTTTTTTATTGATATAATGTATTTTTTATGCATAATTAAAAAAAATAGCTTTTTGTACTCCTTGTATGTATAAACTATAAGTGTGAGAAATTTCACCCACTTCCGTACGAGATTTTCGTAATAAGGGGTACAGTTTTTCTTCACGTATTAATATATACTTTTTAAATATGTCGGTTTACTACTTCTTCATGACTAAACGACTTAACGGATCCTTTGTCTAAACAGACTATATACTTTTTCTAATAATACAGTTTTTATTACCATACTAAATATAATACAAATTGAAAACAAGAACAAAAAACATGAAGGAGTTGGGCCTGTCAAATGACGATGCTTACCAGCGAAATGTCTGGCGCCTCAAGATTGGAAAAGCCGACCCCACGTGGGGAAGAAGCGAGGATGAAGAAGATACTAAACAGAAATTATAAAAGATTTTTTTGGTGTAGCTAAAAAAAGATGGATGGATTGTGTGAAAGATGATATGAATAAAAGGAGAGTATGCTCAGATATGACGGCCGATAGAGATTAGTGGAAGAGAATGACATAGGTACTGCGCCGACCGCAAATAACGGGATAAAGGCAAGGCAGAGAATTGATAATAATTAAACAATCATGTTTTAATTAGTAGAGACACATAACTATAGATGGTGGTGTGGTGGTGTTATTTCAGGCTTCCAATTAAAATAAGTAACAGATAATCACACCAATTTGTTACACTATTAATACCGCGAGTTCGCCTGCTTTGTTATTAATAAAATTTGTCCGACCTCGTGACACAATTTATCTTTAAATCTATCG